TCTCCGACTCAGGCAGCTGCTGGAGGTTCAGGGCCGAGGGAGGGGGGATCCCTGACCCCAGGGGGAGCTGTTGAGCAGCCATCCTTTCCCAGGGGGATGCTCCCCCGGGCTGCCCCTGTTCAGGGGATGCCCAGAGGAGTCGGGGCCCAGGGGCTGCCCAGCCGGCCCCGGCCCCAGTACTGAATTCACTTCCCAGCAGCCTGGACAACTGTATACTCCTGGGGGAATTCTGCACCAAAAAATTAAAAATTCTGCACAAATATTTGAAAATTCGGCAAAAAGCTGCATATTTTATTTGTCAAACTAACACACTATAATCATGACAGTTTCAATTTTGGTCATTTATTTCAAAATATCTGTCAGCGAGTGTGTCTGTAACACTGCAGACGAAAACCAAAAGATTCTGGTCATTTTTTGTTTTTAAATATATTCCTCACTAGGCGTATTAACGCAGAACTTTGGGTAATTCATTTAAAATACACGACAGAACTGTGTTTCCTGCACCTGTCAGAAGCAGGGCAAAGGCTTGGGGTCGTCAGGGGTAATGGGGGAGCTGAGGGAGTGGGGAGGAGCCTGGGAGTGAATTTGGAAGGTGTTGAGTGTGGGCGGAAGAAGGTTTTTTGAGGGGGGGGTGTTTTTAGGGAGCTGGGAAGCCTCCCCCATTCAGACTCTGGTTGGCCTCAAACCTCCCCCATTCAGTAAGGCACATCAGCCCCTGTCCCCGCAACCCCCGTCCCCATGTGTCCCTGCAGCCTCCTCCCCCATCCCCAGACTCACCCCACTAGCTCCTGAGCTCCACTCTGTGACCCCCCAGCAGCCCTGGGTGCCCCACTCTGCTCTAACCTGGCTCTGGGGCAGGTGCTGTGATGAACTTCTGCTCCTGGGGGAATTCTGCAGCACGGGTCAGGCAGAGAATTTTTTTCCCCACAGAAAATACATTCTGCCCCAGAAGTGCTGCAGTTCCGCCCTATGCCCACCAGGGGCCGCTGTGGGGCCAGAACAGCGGGCAGTGTTCATGCTGCTGGGTGGTCTGGTGCCACAGCGGGCCCTGGTGGGAAAAAGGTGGAACTGCAGCACTTCTGGTGCAGAATGTATTTTCTGTGGGTAAAAAACAAAATTATGCAGGACAGATGAATCATGCGTGTCCTAGGGTTGCCAACCCTCCAGGATTGGCCTGGAGTTTCCAGGAATTATAGATTGATCTTTAATTAAAGATTATGTCATGTGAAGAAATCTCCAGGAATACAGCCAAACAAAATTGCCAACCCTAGCACGTCCGCAGATGTGCAGAATTGCCCCAGGAGTAACAGACTGTGGATGCAGTGAGGTGTCTGTTACCCCGGCGCTGTCCCTGGGGCTGGGCGCTAAGGGCAGGTTACAGACACAGGGGGAGGGGTCTGTGTCTCCCCATCTCACTCCTGTTTGCGTGTGAACGCAGAGCTCCCTCCGCCCAGACCCTCCATCTCCGTCAGCCCCAGTGGGGTGATCGCCCCGGGGGAGCCGTCACCTTCCGCTGTCAGTGTCGGTGCGAGGCCAGGAGGTTATTTCTGTATAAAGGTGGAATCGAAATCCGGGAGCTGGACGCTGCTGGGGATGGGGGTGAATTCACCATCCCCAGCGCCAGGTGGGAAGACGGAGGGGTCTACAGCTGCCGATCTCGCTCCAGATCAGAGCCGCCCAACTGATCGGATCCCAGTGATTACATGCAGATTGTTGTAGCAGGTGGGGGGCCTGGCTCAGTGTCCCCACTCCCAGCCCCACACGCAACCAGACCCACAGGGGGTCTCTGGGCCAATGAGATCCTCAGAGCCAGGCTCTACCCTGAGCCCTTGGCCCAGCAGAGGGGATGCCTGGCTGGGGAGTGGATACAGAGTCACTGGGGGAGGTTCCCCAGCCACTGGAGCTAGGGGGATGAGGGAGGGCAGATCCCTAACCCCAGGCAACCTTGTGGTGTCACTGAACCTGCCTGTGCCTCCATTTCCCCTTGTAAGAATGGGGGATGATTATCCTTCTTCACCTTTTGTCTGTGTCTGTGAAGCACCCAGCACCTCTGACTCCCAGCCCCCTCCCGATCTAACCACTACACCCCACTGGGGCTGGGGATAGAACCCAGGAGTCCTGGCTCCCAGACTGGGGTACAGAGGGGTGATCTGGATTTTAGGCAGTTTGGGGCATAGCTCCCAGCGGTTCCTCTGGCTGGGTTTTCTCCCAGGGGCTCCATGGCGAGGACGGGGCGCAGTGACTGTGCCAGGGTCTGGCTCACGGCCTGTCTTCTTCTCACTGCAGAGCTCAGGTACCCCAAACCTTCCATCTCCCTGCGTCCTAGCAGTGGGGTTGCCCTGGGGGGAGCTGTGACCGTCCGGTGTCGGGGTTTGCACCAGAACATGAGGTTCCCCCATCTCAGCCGATGCTCATTTTAATCCCACAGAAGGAACCGACCCAGCTGGGCCCCAGCAGCCGGATCCCCCCACGACGGAACCGGAGGGAGAAGGTGAGCGGGAGAAATGGAACAATTCATCCCCCAGGGAACAGGGCTCCCCGCTCAGACGCCCACGGGGCCATTCGGGCCGTTTGGAGGAGGATGGTCCCTGCAGAGAGAACTGATGGGTTCAATTCTTCTATGTAGAGGGTGACGGATAGATCCATGGCGGGGGGTGGCCACGGGTCAGTGGGAATGTGGGTCCTTGGAAACATAGGGCAGTGGACAGATGGGAGCACATCTGGTGATGGATACAAAGATGGACTAAGACCTTGTCTACATGAAAACTGGACCCGAAATGATGAATCCTGTGTGGTTCCCAACCCCCACTGGTGATCTCAGAGCGAGTCTGGGCTGTCAGAATTTGTGCTTCCTGGTTTGGATTCAGCGAGGGAAGGGGGGGGTCCCCACTCCCCAGCCACTAAAACCCCCTCCCCCCTCGTCCCAGGACTGACACTGACGATTGATGCTGAGTCGGGGGTGGGGTGATCACTAAGTTGCTGTTTCATCCCCTCCCCCTGCCCCGACAGATGCTGGTTCTATTCCTGCAGGGGGAACCGACCCAACCCAGCCTGGAGCGGCACCAGCTCCCACCTGCCCGGGCAGCGCGGGGCCAGGTACCAGGGCTGGGGGGGGAATCACCATCGAACCACCCCTGGAAACAGGCTCGCGGTGCCCAGGGGCTGGGATGGGGGCAGTGAATCTGGGTGGGTGGGGCCCAGACATCACAAGGAGGGGCTCATTGACATGGGGGGATGGAGAGACAGCCCCATTGCCCCTCCCCCACTGCCAGACCCCCCCCCAGCTCCCTCAAAGCCTCCTGCCCTGCAGGTCGCGGCCAGGAAGCTGTGGGGGATTCCAGGGGTGGGGCAGAGCCTGGGGCGTTGGACACAGGGGACCTGGGGCTATAACCCCCTTCCCTAGGCCCCATGATGTCCCCCTGGCAATAGGGCTGACCATTACCCAGAATTCCCTCTCCTTGCCCTCCCCTCACTGGGTTCTCAGGGGATCCCCAACCCTCCCCCTCCAATAGATGTTCTGCTGCATCTGGCTGGGCCCTGGGCACCACCGGGACGTGGGGGGCAGCAGGTGACGTACCAGCCTCGCCCCCCCGCCCTGCACACTGCCTGGCTGTGTTTGGCAGCAACCGGATACCCCGGGGATGGGCTCACTGCACAGCAGACAGGCCAGGGCAGAGGTACCTGTGGGGGTGGACAGAGGGGCACTACAGGGGGGCCGGGAGGCTAGACTGGCCTGTTGGAAAAGGTCAGGGCAGCCTGGTCACCCGCAGAGCAGCAGGACGCAGCCTCCTGTGAGGGGTCTGGCCCTGGGGAGGCCCCAGAGCCGCGGTGCCTGGGAGAGCCCCAGAGGGGGGATGGGCCAGACCTGCCGGACGGGGGGTTGGGGGCTCTCCTTCCGGGGCAGCGCCAGCCGCTGATTTCACTGTCTGAGCCGCCGAGTGACTCTCCCCTTCCCCCGCAGCAGCCCCCCCGGGGCGCCCGGATTTCACCCACGCCAACATCGCCCGCCTGGCGCTGAGCGCTGTGATCCTGCTCGTCCTGGGGCTGATCCTGGCTGAGGCCTATTACAGCCGCCCGAGGGGAGCACCTAGGTGAGGTGACCCCCCCCCTTCTGTGCCCCTTGCTCCCTCCAGGGCCTGGGTGCAGGGCGACACGGGCCCCTCTAACCTGCCATCTCTCTGCACCCCCAGGAGCCTGGATCTGGCTGTACAGAGAAGAGAATCTCCCCGGGGAACGAGCCGCTTCCCCTTGGGGGGGCTGAGATGCCAGCACAAACCCCCCTGCCCCCAAACCCCCCTGCCTCGAGAATCCTGCCTCCAAGACTGCTCCCAACCCGACTGCTGCACCCCAGGACTGAACCCCCTTCTCCCTAGACCTCCCCCGCCCTGCATTTCTATTGTATAAATTCCCAGAACTTCCTGTTCCTCTGCCCTGCCCCCCAAATCTCCCCACCCCGGGGGGAGCCTGTGGTAACGGTCGCGGAGCCTCCAAATGTCCCCTCGTTGGGGGTTCAGCCGACGAAGGTGAGTGAGAAGTTCAGGCAGCGTCACGAGAACCCGGACGAATGAACGTTGGGGGGAAAGTTGGCGAGACAGAAAGACGGGATTAGTCCAACCCGAGCGGCCGCCAGACAAAACCCACGGGCCGGGTTGGGGCCCGCCTGGGACACGGGAGAAGTGGGGGAGCAGAAATCCGTGACCCAAAATTGGGGTGTTGGAAACGAGGCCTCATTGGTGGATAAAATATTGCGGGGATGGGCTGTGCCGCCCACCACCCCTTTTAGGGGCACTCAACTCACCGCTACGAACCCTGCTCCGTGGAGACGGCCTGAGCAGAGTGGCCGGAGAGAGGGACCCCGACGCCATTGCCCCTCCCCCGGCTGAACCCCCGACCCGGGAGGAAACGGGGTCGGACTTTAACAGCAGCCGCGGCGACGCCGGCTCCAGCCCAGCTCCGGTGGCTCCTCGGCCCCCCAAGGACAGTCGCTAGCGTCTCCGGGGCCAGCGAGGAGACACCCAAACCCAGGGGATTTTCCGGCTAGAGACTCGCTCCAGCGAACGGGGCCGGGGGCTGGAACAAACCCCTCGTTTCACACGGCGCCTGCCACGGCTCCCCTGGTTCCTGCTCTGCTGTGTCTGTAACAGCCGGTCCCAGGGGTCAATGGGGGGGTTGCTGTGGGGCTGAGCAGGCTGCAGGCTCTGGATCCCACCCCCGGCCTGTGTTTAACCCTGTTCAGTGTGGGGCAGGGGCTGGGGTAGGGTTACCATATCTCATAAATAAAAAAAGAGGACCCTCCACGGGCCATGGCCCCGCCCATTTCCCCACCCCTAGCCCCGCCCCAACTCCGCCCCTCCCCCCACC